GTCCAGAAAAACAATATCCCCGGCCGTTTATGCGTTCCGGACAATCTTTATTTTATACAAACATTATCGGAAAATCGGCTCGAATTTTTTAAATTTACCGCATGGCATTCTTTCGCCTATCCTTCATTGGCCCTTAGTATTCCGAGGTACGTGAAAAAAAAATTGACTACATTTTGTCCATCCTTCGGCTTTTGGACTACTTGTTGCATACGTTTAAATTTTTTGGGCTACGCACAGCATATAGGAAGTTGCTTTTCAGCTTACAGTAATCATACTCTTTGGTTGGCAGTATGCAATAAAACATTCATAGGTAACAGTTTAACAAAATCACTCTATTTATTGAGTAATTTATTTGGGTTAACAAGGCACACCTATAGAAACATAATTTTTCACAGAAGCGCAAATGTACAAGAAGAGGCTTTAACAACAAAACAAAACAAAGCCGTAGATCATCTGAGAGTTCCGCACGTGCACCACAGAGGTTCATGCATTAAGACGAAGATAGAACAGTTCGCTCAAGCTGCACTTCACCCCTTTCGCGTCGCCACACGTGCGAAGCGCGGATGCCTTTCCGAGTTGGTACGCAACTCCACTCTGTGTTCTTGATTCTGCGGAAGTCACTCACCTCCTTCTCGGTTAAGTTCATGAGAGTTACGTTTTTGACACGCCTTCCAACCTTGTCCACAAAATCTACTGATGTTCGGACGAGCTGCTCCTCCGGTGAACGGAGGTTGTGCACCGTTGCGTGGTGTTTGAGAAGCCCTCCAACCCCGTCACAAGAGTTTTTACCATGCCCAGAGGCAGAAAATATCCACTTCAATTGGGTATGGCCCGCTCGTTCGAACTCATGCAGCTGAAATCTATTTTTAAAATGAGCAGGTGCCCCGTCGGATATGTACGTTAGTGAAGCATAAGCTGGGATGTGCTCCTCCAGCGAGTCTTCTATAAGTCTCAGAGCCAGCAGCGCATGGGAAGTGTCATGACATAAGTCCTCACAGACAACGCCGAAGCATTTTGAGCCTTGCGACGTGGATGCCACACACGTGAACACAGAGAGCTGACGCTTGTGCCAGTGGTACTCCTGTATCTCGTGTGGCAAAATTACCATCCAGTTCTCCGCAAAATCGAAGTGCATGACGATGTGTCTTGAGGTCACACTAGACTTCTCAATCCGTATGGCTTCCCGTTGTGTCCTACGAATAAAATCGTGCGTGGAAAACCTTGTGGCCCATTTCTGTAGCTCTTTCAAAAAGGCGCTGGAGTCGGCAGTCTTGCTTATCAAATTACCATTCTCCCATGTGAAAAATGTAATTTCCTCTTCAGGCACCAGTTCCAATGATTCTAAAGGGCCGCCCACACTAGCGAGAAAACGCGCCCGGCGCGCCGATAAATCGGTTAAGCGGCAAGATAAAGGGCGTGTGTCTGCACGCGCTCGTGGCGCTGACTGTGCTTCGGCGACATTTTGTTACTTGCCGCGATCGGCGTGCCACGCGCGTTTTCTCGCTAGTGTGGGCGGCCCTTAAGGCGAGTCTGTCAGGCGAGGGGCAGTCTTTGCATTCGCCTCTGAAACATTCGGACGAGGGTTCAGGGCAGAGGCACAAAGCGAGAATCTCCTCTTTTGTTATTTTTTCTTCTCGCATGCTGTTCAGGGTGGAAAAGCACAAATCGAAATTCGTACAGCACACACATGCACAGACAGTCTGTTCAGGGTTTAGCTTGACCCACTTTGGCCGCAGCGAGTAAAATTTAGTCAGACCTAATTTTGAGTCCGGGTTTGCTTCCTTAAACAGCCTGTACGTCTCTCGGACAGACCTTGTCATATACCGCTTCACGACCACATGTTCTTCGCCATCCTTCAGAAGCTTAACAGCATCTTTTTTGTTTGGGCTCTGCCGAGAACAGTCGAGATCGTCGTCGGTGTAATATTGCGTGGCTGCCCGTATGGTGTCCTCGCTTATGCTTCCACCGTGATAAGGCTCCGGACGCTCCCATACGCCGAACCGTTCACGAAGCTGCTTTGATTTCTTCAGAAGGTACTTCGATGCCTCAGGAATTAGCCGTTCTACCTCCCTAGTGGCTACGCCCTTGGGCACAAGCGTGAGGAGCTGACATCTCTCCTGGTAAGATGCCGCCTTCACAAAGGCCTCTCTGATGTTTGCCCACCACCCGTCGCAGCCGAGGCATGGTTGATCACTGCGAGAACTTGACCCACTTGGCTCCAAGGTATATGCAGTCGCCAACTTTTTTCGTACCTGTCGGGTGTGTGATCCTTCAATCTCCCGCTGTTTTCTTTCAGCATATGCCTGACGGCTTTTCGGGTTTACTGTAGAAGGCATGCGCAAAGGAGTTGTTTCAAGCCCAGCAGGAGAAATCTCTTCGTTAAGACCTTGCACTACTTCGTGCTCTTCGATGCAGCTTGCTGGAGAGCTCGAGCATGGATCACTGACAGATGATGAAAGCTTCTCACCGGTGGGTGTACTGGTATCAGTTCTGGCAGAGCACGTCATCCAACGCAAGAGCCGCGGCTTTCGATGGAGGCAGGATCATCTTCAAGGCGTCTACGTTGAGATCGGTGACATAACGAAGACGTCGGTTGCGGTATACCCTTCGCTTATGTCTCTCGAAGTAGTCCGCGCAACTCTTTCTTTTAAAGCTGAAAACTGCAGCCATGACTGGGTTCAAAATAACGCGTTCATTCCTCGGGAGGTTCCGGCTTTCTACTTTCGACGCAGTTCCGCAGTTCTCTTATACAAATTCATTGCTGCAAGCCCTCTTCTTATATTTTTTTTATTCTCTTATACTAGATGAGTTTGTCAAATATAGACACTGATTAGCGAATCAACCTAAGGACGCCAGAAAATGTCATGGTGCGTGTTATTCCATTACAAGTAAAAATAAATAATGGATAAGAGAAACAGACAGACCATAGCACCAGGGGCTCAAAGAGGACTACAAACATTAGTTCCGGAGAAAAGCGCTGCAACGAAGACACAAAATGATAAGCCAACCAAACCTTCATTTTTGTTCTGATGCTCTTGCCGACACTGTGACCATGTTTGTACTGGTGATAACTTGCCACCCTTGAAACAAATAAGTATCCGCAAAAGCTGTATGTATACAGTTACGACTCCATCGACCGGCGTGATAATGGCTAGTGTTTACTGCATTTGTTTTCTCCTTTTGACAAACTTGACCCAGCCGAGCTACAGAAACTTCGGGCACCAAAGAGTCTCAAGCTTCCGCCCATAAATTTATTGGGAGAAGGACAAGGACTGCTTCACACAGTTCCACTTCGCTGTGATGCTTTGCGACAGCCTGTGACGACGCGAGTTCCACTCTAACAAGATTAGTATAACCCTTTTGCAACGGCGCACGCCGAGGTCAACTAAGAGTCGCATGGTAATCTTCATGATAAGAATCGCAGCCTTTTGCTGGCGCTCGCGAAGAGGTTACTGAACCTATACTTCACCTAACAACTGGACCAGTTGCAACTGATGTGACGAACATGGCTCTTTCTTTTGATGTAAAAACAAACATAAAGAAAGCGCCAGAAAACGTGCATACCCAGCTGGTAAGCAACACACGGGAAATCAATTAAAAAAGTTTGAAAGAGAAAAAAAAAATTTGCCTACGCCACTTGCCTTCTGTCATTTTTTTGTGACATTTATTTTTTTGTAAAAAGTATATTACTAGGAATGCAACGAGGTAAAGTGGTTGTCAGTGAAATCTGATATTGCTGAGCCAATTATCAATGTTGCGGTGAAGCCCACATACCGGAGCCGGAGGTTGGTATTACGCGATAAAAATGACTTATTCAACTGGTTGTCCTAAAACTACAACAAAAAAAAGTCAAGCAATATTTATACCCGGTTATTAAGCAGAATCTGGGCAATAAATTAAAAAAGTATGAACGAAATAAAAAATGGCTTTTTTGAGAAAATTGACTTCAAAATTTGCATATTTTTCATTTTTGTCTATATTTGTGGCAGAATAAAAACAACACGGTAAACACAATAACCAGAAAATACATGTCAATCGATAGCTTACATTGATAGCTACGCACAGATATCTGTCTCACGTCATTGCGCCCTACCGTTCGTTTTATATAGCTGTCCGAAGTTGCGTCACACTTGCTCTAGGTTGCATGTTTGAGGTTTTTTAGAAAATTAATTTAAAATAACAGAAAACAGAAATTTACCTCTAAAAATAGCCAAGTCTGCGTAAATATTGCGTAATAAATATAATAATTCTGCAAGAATTCGATATTTTGTAAATGGCGGCTAAAGTCGAGATAAAATCAAATTGGGAATTTGACGTGTTCTACCCTGCAGCGCCTCAGAATTTTTTTCTCTCAAACTATACAATTCTAATTTTTTTCAAAGGCAGTTTCTTTCATCACAAGGATTCGGGTATTATATACATTTTTTACGATTAAATCTAAAGACCCCCCCCCCCCGACAAGTTTGGTCGAATTCAAATGAAATCACCCTCCTTTTACGCAAAGTACTTCAGCCACGGGGCCTCATCGTCGACGACGTGGATAATAACAAGCCTTTCGTCCTTCTCAACAAAGTCCAATAAAGAATGGACTTTGTCCTCTTCATGTGCCCCGTTAAACATCTCCTCGGACTCCGCGATAGCTTTTTGCATGGCAACATGCTAAATGCGCGCCCGCTTGGAGTAGGGATCTTCTCTCCTTGTGGCTTCCCTAGACAGGTAGGTCGGGCAGCTAGGGAACTTCGACGGTACAGCGTCAGGGCGATGACGGACATGGGATAAGGGCACTGTGATGGTGCGGCCAGTACTTTCATCGGTATACGATGCTTCTCGGAGGACGTTCGAAGTGAAGCTCGCATACCTAGAAAAGAATTTTGCGTCCAATGAACAAACCAATGGGTATTTGACATAAAGTGCGGATTGCGAGCCACATTTATAAGAATGTATACATATATTGAATCTCCATTTGCAATGGAACAATTCTCTACCAAAAAGAAGCTTACCCTTGAATTCTCGGTGACGGAGAGGTCCTCCCGCGGAACAGCGCGTATCCATGCGTCCCTCAGTGTTTGATCGCTTGGGAACTTGAACACGTGCACTTTGGTGTCCACGGTGTAGTTTCCGCGGCATCGCGGCACACAGCACTTGCACGGCATCTCACCGTCGCTCTTTTCACATTTCTCAAGCTTGCCGAGACACGAAACAACTCACAGCGACGCGCAAAACACGAGAAATTCGACAGAACAGATATGCACGTCGAAAAAGACACTCGGAAGCAGGCAGATTCTGCGGGGGACTGGTAAAGCTCACTGTTCAGCCGCACCTGCAATGGGGCGACATGCCTAGACAGGTCCGGACCCGTCGAGCCACCTCTCGGAGCTGCCCCATTAGCTGACGTAGTAAGAGTGGAAAGGGGGCAGAACCGAGGCTTTCTTCCTTTCCAGTTGGTGTTGATTGAGGGGGGGGGGGGGGCGGCGGGGAATTTCCTACGGTTTCTCTCAGGTCACGTGTTAGGGACAGGCGCATCCGCTACGCAGGCGCTGCGAGCGGGCGTTCTCCGCGCGCGCGCGCCTGGCTTTGTCGGTTGTCCGTTGCAATCGGCGAGTCGGCGGCAGCGCAACGCCGAGGGTTTAGTGAGTTTAGTTTTGTTCTTCGCTCTCGTCGCACTGTCAGTCAACGCTCGCCCGGCGCAGACGTTCGCGCTGCGGGCGCACGGATACTGACGTGCCAATCGTCCCTGGATGGTTACCCACTGACCTCGGCTTTGAATTTTTATATAGTGTGAAGCTGCTGACCCATTGCACTTTGGCTCGGCATCTGGATGCGCTTGGCGCTGGTGTGCATGGTGACAATACTTGGACATCTCGGATACCGCTTGCCCGCCGGAACTTCCCGATGCACTCCAACACTGGATGCTGTGCTTGTGCGTGCTGTGTGTGTGTTCCGTGCACCGTGTTTGGTGACGACACACGCCTTGCATTGTCTGTTGCGGTCGACAGCAGCACTTCAAGAGTTTCGGTTCTTCTCCGCTCCCGTCAGACTGTCAGTCGGCGCTCGCCCGGCGGCGACGTTCGCGTTGCGGCCGCACAGATACTGACACGCCTATCGTTTCCCTGGATGAATAACCACTGACCTCGGCTTTGAATCTTTATACAGGGTGTTTTTTTTAGGTGCACCAAATTCCCCAAAAAAAGGCAACGCGAGATAGAGTAATTTGAGCCCTGGGGAAGTGTTTGTGGCCATGGGGGCTTCTAACAAAAGGTGAAATTATGTAATTACTTAGCTAATTAACTAAAATGTTTTAATTAACTTTTAATGTTTTCACTTGAGGGCACATAATGTATTTAGAGGATTGAAGATCGGCCACAGTATGGTCGAGCCGTGTCGTCAAATATGGATAAAAAAATTTCCTAGTAGGCGCTACGAGGTCGAGAAATCTCACTTTGGTAAAGGGCGCCAAACCGAAACTAAACAGAAAAGAGCGCCGATAAAGTTATCGCTCCGCCCTTCCGGGCACGCGATTTGTCATTATCGCGGCCGGCTCGCCCAAGCGAGTGGGACCGGCCGTGATAATGACGAATCGCCTGCTAGCCCTCTACCGAGTGGGTTGGTAGACGAGGGGGAGTTTGAACACCGAAAACTATGGCGACGATGCGGCGGGCGCGCGAGGAGCAAGCGCAGGTCCAAGGCACGGGGTGCGAGGCGCGTGGCTAAGGGACAGGACAGTTAAGGCATGGCAGCGTGAGCCGCCGTACACCGGGATTGAAGATTAAAGATGTCTAAAACATGACTCGAACCCTTCCACCGGACAAGCGGTGAGCAAAAATACCACAAATGGCACCCAACGTGGGGCTAGCCGCTTGTCTGGGGCCTCGCAGAGCAGAGTCACGATAGACGAGAAGACCCTCATCCCGACGGACGCTTGCTCGGATGTCGCTCGCGGGCCAAAAGGAAGTTATGGGAACCCTGCTGGAAAAGCCTACACCAGATAGCTGGGCTACTACGAGCAGCAGGAATGGTGCAGCCCGCCGAACACTGTGGCAAACCTGACGGGGGGAGCGACGGGGACCCTCGAGCTGTCCGCGGGCGGCTACGCGAGAAACCTCTGGCTGCGGGATGCATTGATCTCCAAGCTGATTGCTCCGATACACGTCAACTCGCTGCTTTGCTACGCCATCTCGGAGGAGCACTCTTAAGAGCGACGCTGACGAGATCAGAGACGCCAAGGAGAGTCTTCGAGAGTGTCAAGAACCAGTAGGAAGGCATTGATATTATTACGTGAGCTGTCTATACTTGTCCGCTTTGTGATTCGTTTGTCCAGTGCTCCCGCCTTGATTCTCCAGTCATGCTTGGAGCTCCTCAGCCCAGGAGGGTGGATATAGGGCGCAAGCGATATCACTGGAGTTTAATTTATTTTAAAGCGAGAATGCCGGCGGTTCTGTTTATTCTCCCTTTTTACCTGAGCTAGTCGTGGTGCAAGCTAGAAGTCTTGTAAAGTGGAGCGGCGCTAGCGACGATGCTCGGTTGGAGGGAGACGGTCAGAAAGCAGGCAAATCGTTTGTTATTGTCACTTTTTCTTTGATTTTTATATGAGAGTTTATTTGAAACTGAATGTGCCTGTTTTGATCTGCGTTCTCTCCGTTCACCCGAACTAGTCGGGGCGTTAGGTGGAAGACTTTTTTTTTAAATTTAAGCGCCGCTATTGATGATGCTTTTAAGATTAGGAACCAGTTAATGTGTCAATAAATTTTGTAGTTGTTCAGCCCCGCAAAGGAGGTTTGGTCTAAACGTCTGCAGGTGAAAACGTCTTCATTTCATGGGACATGAGCAATCCAGGAGGGGGAAAGATGTTTGAATTTTGGACACCGAGACCTTTGGCAACGTTATGCATGTACTTCCTCAGCGGAATGTGCAGAGACGGACAACGATGCCACTCCTCCCTCCATCCTACACTTCGCGCACTTTTGTTTTTGTCAAACCGTCCTTCTACACACCCGAGCAATCTTAGATGATGATTTGATTAAAAATTTAATTGCGATACAACATGGGTTTCAGGGCCGGCACAAACCAGTAGTTGACTGTAACTTGAACGCCACATCATCAAGCGCGGATATAAAAGATAGATGGCACAATGGTCCACACTGCTGTGAGCAGCGAAAGTTCCACACCATATTCAAGGACATGCGCCGCGTCTGCAACGACGGTGTCCTTGCAGACTCTTTTACGTCACCTGGAAGTGACTTAAAAGCGAGTTCTCGGCGTAGTCCTTAGAAACGCGATGAACACAATGGCGACGGCAAACTTCAAGACCACAATGATGACGCCGAAAAATATCTTCTTTTAAACTTGGCTGATATTCGTCCCATCATCTGTAATGACGGTGTCCTTGCAGACACAATTCTTTGCCAGGTCTTCAGCAACGTGACGACAATAGTGACGATGAGAACCGTGATCACCTCAAAGGTGACCAACGATAACATCTTGTCCTGGACCTCCATGATGTTCTTCCCACAATCTGAAAAGGGAGTGACTTTGCGGACGCTGTGGAAGTCTAACTTCTACGTCGTCTAAAAGGACACTGCAAGTCACGGTTCCAAGGAGAGACCGGTGGGAAAGCAGACAGATACATAACTTTCTCTTAATATTAAGATGAGCATACATTTGTTCACTACGGGAGGTTTATGCTGTTTATAGGTAGCCTGCCCACAAGAGAGGGTCGGTGCAAACGTCTGCAGTAATGAACAGTGCCAGCTGAGTTTCTGGAACATGAGCAATCCAAAAGGGACTGCTCATGTTTTGGCGGCGGGTGCGCAAGGAGCGGGCGCGGGGCCAAGGCGCGAGGCGGTTGGCGCATGGCGAGGGGTTAAGACAGTTCAGCCATGGCGATGTAGGCCCCCAAACACCGGGCTAGAAGATTAAAGATGTCTCCATCATGACTTGGCCCCTTCTCCGGACAAGTGGTGAGCAAGAATATCACAACACATATATATATACACACACATATAACGCTACGAGAAAATACGTAAAATACCTTGTCTCCAGGCTGGAAGTGGACGTCCCGACGACTATGATTGTAGCGGCCAGTGTCGAAACGGTTTTGGCCTTGAATCCAGAGTCTGGCGAGCTGACAGACTTCTTCCGCCCGTTAAGCAACCACCTGGCCGTCGTCGCGTCCGTAGACAGCCGGTTTCTAGGGTAACGTAGCGTCCAGCATTGTCGTTACACTGCGACTATGAACCAGTTGAAAGGGTGTCACCCTGGTGGTCTCTTGCGCGGCCTTGTTGTAGGCAAATGTGACGTATGGCAATACCTCGTCTCATGTCTTGTGCACCACGTCGACGTACATAGAGATCATGTCGGCGATGGTTTTGTTGAGTCTCTCCGTCAACCCGATGGTCTGCGGGTGGTACGCCGTGGAGTCCCGTGACTGGTGTGGCTGAGACGACGGGTTTCTTGCGTCAGCTGGGCCATACACGATGATCCACGGTCTGAGATCAGAACTTCGGGAGCGCCGTGCCGGAGGACGATGGATTCGATGAAAAACTTGGCGACTTCCCCAGCAGTTCCCGAAGGAAGGTTGTGACGTGCGCGGATTTCTACGGTGTGTATGTGCGCGTGCCAGGTCATCTTCCTTGCACGTTGTGCACGCGAAGAAGTGTGTGCGTGGGCGCGCGCGTCATCCTCGCGGCACGTGCCACGCGCCCTGCATCAAGAAAGAAAAAAGAGAAGGAAGGTGGAGAACGGAAAATGGAGAGAGAGAGAGAATAAACATCTTTATTATGAGAAAGCGATGGGGAGGAGTCCTTAGTCCAAGACGCCTTGAGCCTTCCCTGCTTCCACAGCCCTCGACACGAGTATGAGCTGGTCATCGAGGTTGGAGCTGGTCAGTGCTCTTTCCCAAAGCTCGTATGACGACTGGAAGGGGTTAGACGATTGGGTGGGATTTTGGTCGCATCCTCCTACCATATGAAAGAGGGTCCCAGGAGCTCCGCAAAAGCGGCATAATGAGGAATAGAG